TTACGTACACATTTCAGCTTAATATATTTATATAGTTTTAGATATAGATTATTATGTGCAAAAGAACATATTTATCATGTTTTAGATAAAAAAAAATTGGTTTTGAATTTAAAATTTTTTGACATACAATGTACATAAATACATACGTACTTGTATTGAAAAATATACATACATACATGAATACACAAATACATAACGTACTTATATAAATACATATTTGTATAATATTTACACATGCAAATATGAAGTTAAGTCGAGTTCAAATTGGGGCAACCAGTCAAGGCCTCAACCCAAAATTATATCAGGTTCATACTTTTCAAATCTAACCTAACCCTATTTTTTTAGGTTGGGTTCAAGATAGAGGTGAGCATTCAGCTTATTTAGTTAAAATTTGAACTGGATCAATCAAAATTTTAAAAACCAAATTTAAAAAATGAAAACTAAGCCGAAACAGAATTATCGAAACAACCAAAATTTTTTATTCAGTTTTTGGTTATTTTGTTTAAAACTGAATTTCAATAATATATATATATATATATAAAAATCAAATTTCATTGTATTATATATTAAATATTATATGTTATATATTAAATATTATATGTTATATATTATATATTACATGTTATATAACAAAGTTCGGTTAATTTGATTTTTTCAATTAACCAAATTTCTAATTCAGAAAACTGAAACCAAAACTTAAATATTCAAAAACCAAATAAAACTCACCCCTAGTTCAAACTAACCTGGCTCAAATTGCAGCCCTAATCCATAGGCATCCCTATATTCTCGTTATAGAACTCCAATGCATATCTTTGTATATGTACATAAATTAGATATATTTGTTTTATAATATTAGGGTCCATTTGGTTTGCATGAATAGGGGTCTGGAATTAGAATCGGAATGGACTATTCCGATTCTAACTGTTTGGTTGGGTGGAATCAGAATTGCATTCCCATTCTTGCTAGAAAGGCATTCCCCCATCCCTGCCCCTCCCTTGAGAATGAAATCCCATTCCTGCTAATTTTAATTCTCATTCCCATTTCTGTTTGAACCAAACAGACTATGGGAATGAACGATTCCGATTCCGTCTACAAACCAAACGGACCCTAAATATATAAATACAATATGAGGTGGATCTTTTCTAACTAAGCCAACTTACCAAACCAAACCAACTAGATGGACTAGTTGATCCATCACCAGGCCATATTTTCAGGTTTATTTTAGCCTCGAGCCATTTGAATCAACTTGGTCGACAATCAAGTGAACCAACTGGTTGAACTAAACCGATAGATGGACTTGATCCATCACTCAGCCATATTTTTATGTCTATACTTCACTCTCAAGCCATTTGCCTAAAAAAAAAAGCAATCAACTTAGTTAACAATCTAATAAACCAATTGGTTGAACTGTTGAACCGTTTGAATGCTGGCCAATAGATCATTGGTTAGACTTTTCTTTTCTTTTTTTATATTTTAGCCATTTCCTTAATCAATAACAATGACTGATTTATCGCTCATTTTTATTTAATACAATGAATTTATAATATTAAAGATATACCCATTTTTTTCAAATTTTCTATATTCTTCTTTATTTTTATATATTATATATTTTATATATTACTATTCAGTTTATCATGTCATATGCTCACCTATTTGACCCGGATGGACCAAACTACTGGCCCATCGCCCAAACAGAATGGTACAGTTCCTGGTTAGTTTTAATAACATTGAGTCTACCCAATCTAGCCTCACATGAGTCATGACAAGGGCTGGGTTACCCTGAACCTAGCCCAAAAAACATGGGTTGGGTTGGGATGAAGTTTGGGTTAGGGTTAGGGTTGAAGCCTTGACCAACCCAAACCCGATTTAACTTCATATTTACATGCATAAATATTATGAAACTATGCATCCATAATTGTATTGTTTATTTATATATTTATTTTGTTGCAGGTATTTATGTATTTATAAATACATATTTATATAGGGTTGTCGATGGGTTGGGTCTAGGTTAGGTTTAAGTAGAACTAGAACTGAAATCTATTATTAAACAGGACAAAATACACAGAAGCAGAACCGTCCCTGTTAATAGTTGGATCTATACGGTCATACTAATTATTAAAAGTTATATTTGTTTTTGAAATTATAACTTAAAATTTAAAATTTGATAATATAATCTTAAGAAAAATAATAGGAAAATATTAAATTATTTATATATTAATAAATTAAACATTTTTAACTAATATTATCTTATTTATTATCTATCAAATTTACGGTTTCAACTCAAAATATGATAAAATTATAAGAAAGTTATAAAAGTATTTTGGAATCGAACCAATTATTCAGGACAAAATCATAGAATCAGAATTATTATAATCAATTCTGATGAAGATTAAAAGTGTCAGTCCCTACTGGCAATGGCTACGCCAAACTCGTGCAGACTTTGGTAACGAGAGCTGCAAACATAGTCAGTCAGAGGGTTCGGGTGAATGCAAGAAAGCAAGAGCAGGAATGCAAGAGTATGAGGCCTAAACGTGGCGAGATAGGTGAGCAAGGCGGCCAAGTGGTCAACCTTAGTGGAAACGTCTAGGCGGTGCGGTTAATGATGGCATTCCATGATCTACAGTTATCTCATATCCATCTCTCTGTGAAATGGGGAAGCGAGTTTCTAGCACTGCTAGGTGGTCCCCACGTTCACATGAAGTGCGGTCAGCCCTTCCGTGTTGACGGAGATAAGGCAGAGCTTGCTATACGGGTTGGTGGTACACTAAGGTCCGAGATGTGTCTCAGGTCAGTGGTAGCCTAAGTCGAGTGGACCAGGTCGATGGCAATCATTAGGTGGAGTCTGGATTTTTTGTCGACCATAATTTTGCCCACGTTTATCCTAGTCACATATGAAAAATATTTCATCCTCTGCATAATATTATATAGGGGGAGATGTTCCCAATTCACGAGGGATAATGTATTGTGGATAGGATTCTTATAAATAATTGGGAATACATTCCCCGATCTATTCCAGATAGGAGGTTGGATACTGAATAGGCATTACAGGTCGAGTTTCCAATAGAGGCCTGGACTGCCATTTAAGTGCGATCTTGCCACATGTGATAATAAGGTTCCATAAAGTATTCATGTCACCACGTGTCAATATGTAATTAGAGAGGAAACCGTCCTTCATCAAGTTTAGTTTATTCAGGTCCATCAGGTAGACCCAAGTACCCAACCAGCCTTGTATTTATGTAAACATGTATGTCAAAAATTTAAGTTCAAAGACAATATTTTCTAAAGCATAATGACTGTTCTTTTACACATAATAATGCTAAGGTAAACCCTTAAAATTTACAAAACTAATTCCATTTGAAAAAGAAATTAGAGAAATAGGATCAATCACAAATTTTGGGGATGGGGTTCATTCAACAACTTCAGTTGGATTGGGGTTGACCTCAACCCGGCCTGACTTGCACCCCTAGTCATCACCACCATCGGGCAAGATTGCTTCATGTGGATTCGCCTGCCATGTGCAAGATCATAAATTTCGAAACTTCAATTTGCAACAAGTGAATACTAGTGACTTCTTTACAGTTATCAGTTCAATTACTTAGACCTTAAAAAGTTAAGTATGTGAAATAAAATCCGTTTTACTTTCGCATAACCCTGGAAAGCAAAGCAGGGCCTACTATATCAATAATATTATATATTATATTGATATAGGGGCTATGCGACTATAAGTTTCTTTTTTAGCCCTAAACTTTTTTATATTGCTTAATTTAATATCCCCACCTTCCAATTTGAAACAAATACAAATATAATACTGAATTAATATATATAATGCCTAATTCTATGTTGTTGAGTAACTGGAGCCTACTTTAGTTGAAAGAGAGAGAAATGTATGGTTTCCTTGTCACAAGATATCGACATGACAAAGAGTGGTGGGCCATGGAAGCATGTGGGCATGCTGGGCCTTTCTTGGACCTTCGATTATATTAGATTACTATATGGGTGCTTGCTTCAACTTCAAAATATAGTTAAACAAAATAATGATAACAAAAGCAAATGGCATATGAGCCAAAGCTTGATTCGGGTATGGTTGTAGTCCTAGTCCACATAATATAATTGCATTTCCTTTCATTTTCTTTTCTTCTTTTATAAATATATATATAAAATTTATCTCGCGTACTTGATGCAGTTGCTCTCCCTTTCTCCCATTTTGAAGATTCGTAGTTGCTTGCTTGGATACAGATAGATTATTAGTATTATGAATGTTAACTATTCATAGTTGACAATTTTGGATGGAAAATATTAACTATTTTCTTTTGTATCTTTTTGTCTCGTAATTATAATTTATTTTTTGGTGGAAAAAAAAAAAAAAAGTTACAGACAACACAACGCTGTAGAAGGCGACCGAATCTGCTTTATAAAACAGCTATGTAATACAACAAGACTTGCTTAGGCTTTACTATCTTTAAAATACTTTGTATGACCCAACGGGTTGGGTTTGGCACGGCATGGTTGTTCAATTTGAACCCAACATAAGGTTGGTCCAACCCCAACACGATAGAGTTGGGTATGGCAGCCTAGGCTAGTAAGGCGTGACCTTTATTTCTTGGTTGATATGTATGATTTTGGTTTTTGTTCTTTTAAAATAAAGGATAAAATATAAAAAACCTCCCCTCATGTTTCTGATAAATATAAAAACTTTTTCTGAGATTTCACTTTAATAATAATAATAAAAAAAAAAAATCTTCTCAGTGATAGACCCCTATAATAAAAAGCATTAAATTATCAAAATACCCCACTAAACTTTTTCTATTTTCTTTTTTTATCATTTTCTATTGAAACTTAACAACTGACCCAAAAGCTTATTTGCACTTAAGCTCGAGGGATAAACATCAAAAAGTATTCCGTAAGACAGAACATCAGGATTAGGAGCACATTTCCATCTTGGCACATATTCAAACATGTTTATTCCTGGAATATTAATGAATAACAGTTTATAGCTAATAGCATCCAGATTACATCCTTTCTCTATCATTTCATTTAGGAGAGCATAGGCTGAATCAAAATTCTTCTCATTACAAAATCCAGAGATCACAACATTGTAAATAATATTATCAGGTTTGTAGCCAATTCTGGTCATCTCCTCTAAAATCCCAGAAACCTCTCCCTTCCGACCAGCCCTAAAGAGTGCACTTATCAAAGTAGTATAAACCGCTGAATCCAACCCTACAATCTTCTCCGACAATATCTCATCTTTTAGCTTAAAGGCTAACAAAGGCCTTTGATCAACGAAGCATAAACAAAAGCATTAGGTCTCAAACCAAAGATCCTCAGCATATCCTCTTTCAATCTAAAAGCTTCGCCCAACTTCAAATTGGCACAGAGAACAGAAATCAGTGTTCCAAAAGTAATTGCATTTGGTTTAATGTCCTTCCTTCGCGTTTCATCAAACAACTTACAAGCATCATCCAACGAGTTACTCAAACTGCAAGCATTTATCAGGATATTGTAAGCACAAGCACCGGGAGACGCGTATGAATCCCATTACTCTTACCAACAACTGATATTATAGGGGGGAAGTAAGTTCTAACTGACATGTTTATTTCTGGAACATTAATGAATAATAGTGCAAATCACTAGTTTCTTGAACATTAATGGATAATAGTTCAGATCATTGACGTTGCGACAAAAACACCCCCAACAAATGATATTGAAGGATTTTACCGTTCTTTGGCAACGAAAATCAGGAATTGGATCGTAAGTTCGAAGAGCTTGTTCGGCCATGCGAGAGCGGTCGTAGAAGGAGATGACATTGCAAAAATGACCTCTTTGGGGATGAACCGAGTCTCCTGGCTCGTCTGAGCAAAGATTTGCTCCATCTCATTGAACATTTTGGGGCGTCCGAGCTTCGTGGTGATGATATCATAAGAGAAGAGGCTGTAACGAAAGAGCTTCAGAGGATTGTTTGAATTAGGGTTTCGGGAGAGTTGCAGAGAGTATAGGATTCTTCTCATAACGAATGAGAAACATGAGGATCTTTTTTGAAATTAATTGACGGAATTCTAACGGAGAGGGGTTTTGTCTAACAGCCAAAGTTCAGGGGTTTTTGTCGCAAAAAAAAACTAAGGGGTCTTTATCACTGACCCATAATATAGAGGGGTTTATGTAATTTATCCTTTTAAAAAACCTGCAGTTACGCCCCTTCCATTATCGTCCCATGAACGAAAATTCAGAATTTACAAAAATATCAGATTCGCTGTTCTAGACTTCACTCTACTTGACAAATTCTCAGGGTAAAAATATTTTACTCTTTTCAATTTGACGCAACGATCATTTTTAATTAAAACTTAAAAAATTCTTTTAGGGGTATTTTAATAAATCTTCGGTAGGCATAAGCTAAACTTTTCTATTGGGGACAATGATGGAAGGAAGGGAAGTAATTTTAGGGTTTTTCAAAGGTTTTTACATTTTACCCTAAAAAATATTGATCAATAGAAAAACATGTTTTTTTTTTTTTATTTTCTGATGTAACAAGATACTTTTGCTATGAATAACAAAATCAAAACACCCCCATAGTATCCATGAAGAGCCAGTTCTATAGAACTTCAAACAAGTAACATCCATCCTTCTATTTTTAATGCTGAAAATAGTAATTTTGACTTTGCATTTTGTCTTTTCTGACCCAACTAAGCCTTGTCCCGAACTATATGTGGTTTGTTACACTATATGAGCCCGTTCCATCATCATCATTTTGCTCTGTTGTTTAGTTTCATGTCCTTTTCTTAAATAAGACTATAAAAAAAGTTAAAACGAAAAAAAAAGGGCTTTTGACAACTCCATATAGTTGGAATTATGGATTTGTTTTGAGTAAATTAAAAATATCATGATTTGGTCCAAACCAAAACCTCTTCCGTTTATTGGCCCTAAAATTAGGCCCAAGCTTGGCCAATTGACCAAAAGATACACTCTATGCCCGGCCCACAATACAACCTGGGCCCCATTGATTCTGTTGTACTAGACTTCTATCAAGGTTAACCAATTCCAACATAGGGGGTTCTTTTTTCAGATTTTGAGAGAGGGAAAGTTGGTCAATAAGATTTTGGTTTCCATTGATAAAAAATCCCATGTTTTTTTTTTTTTCAGACTTATGTGGGACCAAGGAAAGTCTATTTTCCTGGGTATCATTTACCAGGGTAAGTGATATATGTTCGGGTTATGGTTGAGCTGGCTTCGGACATCACATGTCGCCTACGTGGCTGCCTTATCTCTTCAGCCAAATTAGTGCCACGTCACCTCCACGACCCAGCTTATCTCCTCGACCGCGTCACCTCCACGGCCCTACCTTATCTCTTCAACCACATTGGCACCACACCATGTGGATAAGCGTGACCAAGACAGGAGATCATCACACGGATGGGGACAACTCCGCTGGGGATTAGGTCTGATCCCGAGGACCTCGGCGGTTAACCTCATCCAATCAGGACACGAATCATCGGCTATAAAAAGGTACCTCCCGCTCAAGGTAAAGGATCCAACTTTTAACTTCCATACTGTTACTCTACTCGGACCAACACCGTTCTCTAACTGCTCAACCCGACCGCCCAATGTTTTCTACTAACTTGAGCGTCAGAGTATCTACCCAGGGATAACTCCTCGGGCCTCTGACTTTTTCTTGATTTTAGATCTTGGAGCGCGGCTCCGTCCTTCCACCTCGGTTCTGCCCAGTTGGCAAGGACTATTTGACTGTGACCTCGGTTCTTGCACTTCCTAGGATCGAACAACATCAAATTAGCGCCATCTATGGGAATCGCACAAAAGGCCATTCCGAATTCTCTCTCACTGCACAATCAAGAACCGACCAAGATGCCAAAAAACGCTTCAAAATGCTTGACATGCTGATCCCAATCTTGGGGATCCCGTTCTCATCACAGCCCTTTGCGTCGCGAAACTCAACAACCTCAGCAACAAACCACGGTCGATCCTATCCAATTCTAGGCAATGCAAGAAAAAGGTTGACCAAATCTTGGCGATGATGCAGTCATTGGGATCTATGACACTGCCACCTCAGGCCGTCCCCCCTCCTGCCCCGACACGTACAACGGTTGATCCTCACCCTGAGGACCCAAAACGCGTCGGTCGGACAAGGACAAGGCGCGGCCTAACAAAGGGAAGCAGCAGACCTCAAGAAGATCGAGCTCCTCAGCTCAATCACGCAAATGCGACAACCGCATCAAGGCTCATCAATCTGCTCGGTTTCCAGCAAAGGAAAGATTCAGCAAACGGACCCAGCAACCAGTCTCCGTTGTCGAGTCCAGTTCGGTCAAAGATCACCCGACAGTGTCCAAAAGGGAAAAAGCTATGCTTGTCACGGTTTCGGGCAACAGAGATGCAGAAATCTGGGAACTTCGACAACGCCTTACCGAGTTAGAGTGTAGCCAGACTCAGAGAAGTACAGCCCCTCCCGTGATCCACCAAGTGGAGCCGAACAGTCAGCCCGCCAAAGAGCCCCCCTTCGCCCAAGAAATCATGGACGAGCTCCCCCCGGTCAGTTAGCCAGCACCGCAGTTCGAGAGGTACAATGGGACCGTGAACCCCGAGGACCATGTTGCAACCTTTAAAGCCCAAATGATGTTGCACGGCTCGTTCGAAGGCTTGACGTGTAAAGCTTTCGTGGTGACACTCAAAGGAGTAGCCCTGACCTGGTATTCCTCCCCCGCGCTCCATCTCCTCTTGGGAGCAGTTGAAGAGCCAGTTTTTGGCACAGTTTACAGCAAGCCAAAAGCACTGGAAGACTTTGGCAAGCCTCATGAAAGTGCAGCAGAGGAAGGGAAAATCCCTTAGAGACTACCTGACGAGATTCAACACCGAGGCACAACAAGTCTGGCACTTAAAACCAGTCAATGGCCATCACAGCTATCCAATACGGTCTGTGCTCTTCCCCATTCAACTTCTCCATCTCCAAGAATCCTCCTCAAACCATAGCCACGCTGATGACCCATGCACAAAAGTACATCAATGCAGAAGAAGCACAAGCACTACAGAGAGATGAGGAGGAACGAGCCAACAAAAAGAGACAAGATTCTGAGGAATGTAAAACAGAGAGGACGGACCGAGATGAAAAGAGACAAGATCACCGGTCAAACCGAAGACAAAGGACCCCGCCACCAACTTATAGAAATTTCACACCACTGAATACAATGTAGTATGAAATTCTGATGCAGATTTGTGACCGTTACTACGTCTGATGGCCCAAGAAGATGAAGTTTGAGAGCAATAAGAGGAACCGCAAAAAATACTGTGTTCCACAAAGACCACGGTCACGACACCGACAACTGTTACGATCTGCGCCACCACATTGAAGACCTGGTCAGACGGAGATACCTCGGTGGGTTTATTGACAACAAGGACAAGAGGGCGGAGGAGCCACGACTAGCAGGCAAACCTCCACCCCGAGCTCCCTCAGTCGGGGTAATCGTCGTGATCTCAAGCAGGATGACCGTCGGAGCAGGGAGCGGCTCGGACCAAGCAAAAACCCTGACGATGGAATGCAACTACCAAAGAGTTGGAATACCGGGAACCTAAAGATGTACTACTTATGATTTCACATCAATAAAGACAACTTTCTTCTACACTCAGTTGTTCAACACACACTGCACACCACACACTACACAACACACACCTCCTGACAGATCGCACGACGCACGACGCACATTACACGTTGTCCAACCGAACTCTCAACAACTAAAACGTCTGTGCAATCACTCGGCTGGCCTATAATGGCCAGAGCCTGCAGCGCACAGCGACACGCTAGCCCAGAAGCGTACATCCGACCAATTCAGCTGACTCAACCATTGATGGCAGAGCCCAAAGCAGAGAAGAACGCCCCCACCTCTCGAGGCCAGAGGGTGGTCATCGAATTCTGCACATTCTACTGACTAACCGTCAAATCAAAGCTAGCTGAGGAACAAGTAGCTCACGAAGAGCCAAAAGCTCTCGAGACTTGTAACCGAGCATCCCCCAAGAGATGAGAGCTCAGAAAACACTTCGGCCAAGCAAGCCAAAGACCGAAGATCTCTACCACCCCGGACCTCAGCCATAACAAGACCGAGGCCTACAACTTGGTTCAGCAAAATAAAGGAAAGAGAGAGCAACACAAGTACGCAAGCTTAGAACCAAAAAACATCTTTTTCATTAATCAAAGAGTTTGTACATAGTTTCAAGCTCAGCATACCGAGTCGTTACATCATCAAAAGAATTAAAGGGAAAGACAACTTAAGGGCAAAACAGAATTAAATCAGCAGTAGTAGCACTGGTTGACAAACGCCTCATCCTCGACCTCCTCATTCTCTCTGGGCAGGTTGAAAGTGATCGTGTTGTCCTCGATGGGACGGGTGTCAGCATCATAAGGAACCAAGCTCTATGTGACCTCAGCGATAACGGGGAGCCGGCACAGAATCCTGTTTCAGAAGAGATTGAACCCCGTCTCAAAAGAACGCACGACGAATTCATCCATCTCATGTAGGTACTCCACCGAGCCCCTAAACCGAGCAATTGCCTCCTCACCTGCCCGGGCCTCCCTCTCGGCGGCCTCCTTCAGCCACTCCCGCGTCGCCTTTAGATTGTGGATGGTGTTTGCCCACTCATCTATGCCACACTTTAGCTCGGCCACCTCTTCCTCCAGTGCGACCATCCACACACCAGCCGCCTCTAGCTCAGCCAACCAAGCCTTCAGCTGCAGGACCTCGACATGACTTGCCTCATAGAGGTGCCACAGTGACCAAAGATGGTCGACCACCACAACCGCCGAGCAAGCATTCTGCAAAGAAAAGGCCAAGTGTTAGCACAATGACTTCAACCAACCAAAAAGAAAATGAAGTGCAAGCACAGACTTACTGACACAGCCTAAAAAAGGAGCCGCTCGTAGACTCCGCCGCCTCCCGCCTCATGGCATGCATCAGGATGCCACGGAGAAGCTGCTCAGGAACACCTTCTGTTGCAAGTCCGTCCTCAGAATGGACGTTCCACTGCGGCATGTGGAGAGGTGGACCGCTGCCCACCGACGCGTTCACTCGCA